GCTTTCAGGATTCTATCTTTGTCTTTGGTTTTGGTCATTTTGATGATGATGTGTCTTGGTGATTTTCTTTTGGGGTCTATCCTGTTTGGGGTTCTGTAAGGTATGTCTCTTGTAGACAGCATATTGATGTGTTATATTTTCTTATCCAGTCTGCAACTCTCCATCTCTTGAGTGGTGCATTTAATCCATTGACATTCAGTGTAAGTATCAACAAGTGTGAATTGGTTGCTGTCATTTTGTTACGTGCTTTTTTGTGGTGTTGCTGATTTCTTTGTTCCATATAATTTTTGGTCCTCAGCTCGTTTTGTTTATGAGTTGTGCTATCACTTCCTTCATTGCTGCTGTTTTAATATTTGCTAAATATTTGTGCTGGTCCTCTTTTTTATGTTGATATGAAGGTTTATCATTTTTCTTTGAGGTTACCCTGTGATTTATAATTTTCTTCCCAAGCTTAGAGCAGTCTGTTCTATCTTACAGTTGTCTTCACTTTCCTACCGTTTGGAAGTTCTATAACTACACAGTTTTTTCCCTCTTTTTGGTTTGTAGTTGTCTTTGTCAATTGGTATCTCTTTGTTTCCTGTTTACCATCTTGTAGGCTTACTTACTTTGGATACTTGCATAACTGGGTTGGTTTCTGGGTTATGTCATCCTGTGTGTTAATGGTCGGTTATTGTTTGCTGTAGTTGGTTCTCAGTCCAAAGGACTACCTTTAGCATTTCTTGTAAGGTTGGTGTGGTTTTAACAAATTCCCTTAATTTCTGCTTATCTGGAAATGTCCTAATTTCACTGTCATATTTGATGGACAGTTTTCTTGGGTATATAATTCTTGGTTGGAAGTTTTTTTCTTTCAGAGTTATATATACCATCTCATTGTCTCCTTACCTGCATGGTTTCTGCTGAGAAGTCTGAGCTTAGTCTCATTGCTTGCCCCTTGTAGATAACTTTTTGTTTTTTCCCATACTGCTTTTAGGATTCTTTCTTTGTCTTTGGTTTTGTTGATGATATGTCTGGGTGATTTTCTTTTGGGGTCTATCCTGTTTGGTTTGTTGAACTTCTTGAATGGGTATATTGTCATCTTTCATCATACCAGGAAAATTCTCTTCCAACAAATCTTTGACAATTTTCTCTGTGGTTTTATTTGTTTCTTCCTGTTCTGGAATTCTGATTACATGTAGGTTATTCCTTTTGATGGTATCCCACATGAACCTTAGGCTTTCTTCATTTTGTTTTGATCATTTTTCTGATTGATCTCTTTCCAAAGAAGTATTGAGGTATTTGTCTCAGTCTCACTAATTCTATCTTCCATTGATTCAATTCTACTCCTTTGCTCATTCAATGTGTTATCTGTTTCTGAAAATTTAGTATTAATCTGGATTTCTAGCTATAGATTTTGTATCATTTCTAATTTTTCATTTATTTTGTCATTTTGTTCTTGTATTGTCTTTTGAAGTTGTTCTAGGGTTTTCTCTTTGTTTTCCTCAATTCAGTGTTTTCCTTGATCTGTCTCTTAGTCCATTGAAGATACCTAAATATAGTTCTTTTGAATTCCTTATCAGAGAGTTCCAATGCTGCATCTTCCTCAGGGATGTGTTCCAGGTCTGTATCCTGGTCCCTTGTTTCTCCTGCTTTATCTTACTTCTGTGGACTGTGATGCTCTGTTGTCTCTGAGACATTGTGACATTTTTGTGTTTATATTTAATTCGTGATTGTGTGTTGGAGTGACTAGCCCATGATTTTCGTTTTGTTTGGATGTTGTCTACGAAAGCAGGGTACTATGGTTCTCTGTTCGCTAGTTGGCAGCACTCAATACACCCACTACCTGTCTCCTTTCCCAATTGTCAGTCTCCTGTATGTCCCTGCTGTCCTTGGCAAACAGAGCCTATTCTTAGGTCCCTGGAATCCGAATGAGATATGGGTATCCCTGCTAGTATTTGAAACACTGATGACATAGCTTCCATCATCACAGCAACAGGCAGGCTCATGCAGGAACAGTGAGGTTCTTACCACCTGTCATGAGTAGAGCCAATCACCACAACAGGTTGAAGTAGAAAACCAAAAGATTTATTGAATATCAGTATCCAAAGAGACAGAGAGAATCACTTCACTAAAAAGTCTGTCTCCCTGAGGTGAGAAAAAGTTTAGGGCTTTTTAAAGGGAAATGGGCTAAGGGGTAGGAGGGTTTGAGGAATGCTGATAATGCATTATTCTTGTTATTTGGATGAGTCGTTTTTGCCTTGTGAACTTTCTGTTATTGTTCTGCTCAATGATGTAAAACTGGACTTGATGAGGAGAATTGTTTTGCAAACTCTTTGCACTTGCCGGGAAAGAATAACTGTATGAGGAGGGGAGAATGTGGGAGTGGGTACTCTCAAGCCTCTCAGTCTGCCAAGAATGTCTGTTTCCTCTTCATATTGGCTGCTCCAAACTTGGTGTCTCTCTTCTCAGGATGCTCTTGTCCCATAAACCACAGTGATTTAGCTGAAACAGGTCTTGGAGGTAAGCCATATACGCAAAGGAATATATGAGCAGAAAAACAATCCTAAAGGAATTATTGTCTGTGAAAGGCTCAGCTATTCTGTTTACGTAGAGGAAAGAAGAGGGGAAAGAAAAAATAGAAAGTTAATCTTTGTGATTAATGTCTGCTTTAATCATGCCTGTTTGTTGTACTGCTGCAATTTCTCAGCAGAAGGCTTCTCTAGTTCTTCAACAAAGCTGCCAGAGTACTATAAACTGACAGAACAAGTGGTGGAGAAGAGGAGTAGCGTTTTTTCACATGTGTATCTATCTGTGCCCACAAAGTGTGGTGCTTTAGGACTTATTTGGAGTATGCTTGCCCATGAGATAGACAGACAGATAGATGTAAATTAATATTAAAATCTACTACTTTACAATGGGAGCTCTGGTAGCATAGTGGCTAAGACACTTGCCTGCTAACCAGACAGCTGGCGGTTCAAACCCACCAGCCACTCCTCGGAAGGAAGGTTGGGCAATCCTACTTCCGTAGTGATACTGCCTCGAAAACCCAAGGAGGGGTTGCTATGAGTTGGGGCTGACTCGATGGCACATAACAACAACAACAACAACTTTACAGTGAGAATGTTAAAGAGACTTTTTTTTTTTCTAATTGTGATTTGGGTGAAACTTTACAGAGCAAATTCACTTTCCATACAGCAGTTCATATACACTTTGTCTCATGACATTGACTACAATTTACCCCAATGCAACAGCTGCCCTCCCACTTCCTCCTGATAGTTACCTCTGCCCTGTGTCCATCCCTCCATGTACTCCTGCCCCCTGAACTCTCCCTGTGCATAAACAGTAAAGATACTTTTAATAAAGAGACTAATATTATTGGGAGCTCTGGGAGCATAGTGGCTAAGGCACTTGACTGCTAACCAGAAGGCTGGCGGTTCAAACCCACCAGCCACTCCCTGGAAGGAAGGTGGGGCAATCTACTTTCGTAGTGATACTGCCTCGGAAACCCAAGGAGGGGTCACTATGAGTCGGGTCCGACTCGATGGCACATAACAACAACAATATTATTAGCTGAAATTACTTATTACTGATTTAAACTTATTGTTGGCTTTTTTGCTTCCAATATCTGAAGAGAGGCTTTCAAGAATTGTAGGAAATTAAAAAAAAAAAAATCTTAAATGTTTTTCTTTCTTTTTTTTTTTTTCCCCTTGATTTAAATGTAAGATATGCTTGTTACTGAATAGTGGTAATAATGATAAATCTCATAATTACAGAAATATGTAACATGGATAGTTCAGTGTCTTGCCATCTTACCTTTTTGTGTTAACTACATAATACAATTTGGTCTATTAGAATAAAGAAATTAAAGATAAATGTATGATTCTCTTTTTAGATCATAAGGTAGTAGCCAGTATTTTGAACTCATCTGGTCCATAATCTTTTAAAACTAAATACTGATGATTTGAATTGGCTTGTTTAGATTTCATTTTTTATCTTTAGGGAGATTATACGAAGAAAAGCTGTGCTGGCTTTATACAAATTCTATCTCATTGCTCCCAATCAAGTACAGCATATTCATATTAAATTTCGGAAAGCACTTTGTGACAGAGATGCTGGGGTCATGGCTGCCTCCTTGCACATATACCTTAGGATGATTAAGGTAAGTTGGAAATTTCAGCAGGGACTGAGCAGTTACCATTAGAAAAATAAAAGTATAGAACTTTTTTAAAAAAATCAGTGAAATGCTTAACTAACATTTAAAATGTTATTATTGACTCTTTAATAGTAATTTTGACAAATTATTGGTAATATAGGAGTTGTCCTGAACTGGTCATTTTTAAAAAATGTGTAATATTTTGTCATATTACAAATGGAATGGAAAGACATTGGCTCAGGAAGGTGATTTAAATTTGCAGTTAGTGCTTTGTGTGCATAACAGCCTGTAGTGTTGAGGAAAGATGTTGGGGGGCTGTTCAGATATATCTGTGGAGTGTTGACTCTATACGTTGATACTGTGTCAGAGGAGGAAAAAAGGTTGAATGGTTAGGAATAGGCAAACAGTGACTGAAAGGTCCCTTTATACTTATTCTACCAATTAACAATTCATTGGGATTGGCAAACTCCTCTTTATTTAATTTTAAAAATTTTGTTTTATCATATCATAGATGCAGATAGTTGGAAAAAATGAGTAAAGGGCTTATTGGAGAGCTGTAATTCCTTGTATCTGGCCACTCTGCCTGCCTCTAATAGTCTGCCGCTGTCGTATTTCCCATAGGCAACCACTTTCAGGGCTTTTGGCCATTATCATAATTGTTGGAGTCAGAAGTTAAGTTAGAGTTTGCATTGCTAAATCTGTGTAAATATTATATACTGTGAGCCAATTATGATCCCTTCTTTTCTCAATAATATTGTTTTTCCTGCTTTTAATAATTCTTTGTTTTTCATTTGCTATCTCTGTACCTGCTATTGATTTTTTCCCTTAATGTTTCAGCCAGTCTTTACAGTATCTGGTAATTATTTTTCCACATGGATAATCTCTCTATTCTTTCCTCATTGCTCTTGGTCCACCCTCCAGTCTTCTGTCCCCATCTCATTGTTGCTCTCTAGGTCAGGTAGTACATTGCTTACATCTGGGACATCACCATTCATTTTTTATGTTGGAGTCCATTTCCTCAGTTCTGTGTTTGCCTGCTTCTTGGTTCATGCCCTCCTTTTGCTGAAGTATATCTTAAGGAAGGGGTTTTGGAAAGTAAATAGTTTTGAACCCTTGCATATGTGAAAATACCTTTATTTTTCTCTTACACTTGATTGATAGTTTGATTAACCGTAGAATCCCATGTAAAATCATTTTTCTGTAGAATTAAAAAAAAAAATTAAAAACCTTTTTATTGCAATTTGGGTGAAAGTTTACATAGCAAATCAGTTTTCCTTCCTTTAGAATTTTGAAGGCATTGTTCCACTGTCTTATAACTTCCATTGTTGGTAGTAAGACTTTCTATGGCCCTCTGATTTTTTTATCTTTTATATGAAACTGCTCTTTTTCTCTTTGGAAGCTTATGGGATCTTTCATTCTGGTGATTTTCATGGGCCCTTTCAATATAAAACTCAAGTCCTTCAGTTCTGAGAAGTGGTCTTATATTATTTCTTGGATAATATCCCCCATAATCCCCCCCAACCTTTTTTTTTCTGGTTTCCTCTTTCAGTCACTGCTACAAGTTAGCTGTTAGGCTGCTGAATTTATCTTTTTAAAAATTTTTTCCTCTTACTACCCATCGTTTTGCTCAACTTCCATCAACCTTTGACATGAATTTTGAATTTTGCTATCATGTTTTTATTTTCTAAGAGTGTTTTTTTTTAATTACCTGAATGTTCCTGGTGAGTTCAAACCACGAACCTTTCAGTTAGCAGCTCAGTGCTTAACTACTGCTCCACCAGGGCTCCTTTCCACAAGTATGTTGAAATCTTTTACTTGCGGTTTTGTCTCCTTTCTCATTCTTTTTGTCTTCACAGTCTAATTATCTTCTTTGAAACAAGTTCTTTATTGTCAATTTCATCAGCTTTTGTGGGGGATAAACTAGTGTGCTCAATCTACCAGAAGTTTAAAAAAAAAAACCAAAACTTGAAACTCCTCTTTGAAGTACAAAAAAAGTCCTTAGTTAGACAATTAATTTTGGTATAGTATATTGTTTTGGTTACCTATTACTGCTCTGACAAGAATATACCACAAATGGGATGGCTTGAAGAAACAGAAGTTTATTCCCTTACAGTTTGAAGGCTTTAAGTGTGAGTGCAAAGTGCCAGGCTCTAGGGGCTGGGTGAAAGCCCCTCACCCTTGGGCTTTAGCTCTACTTCCTGCTCCCAGCCCACTGAAGCTAGAGGCTTTTCTTCACTCAGACAGCTGCTGGCTGCTGAGGCTGACAAGCCCAAGGTTGACAAGTAAAAAAGGCACAGTCCCAATGTTACCAAACCACATGGCAGGCCATTAATTCAAGTCCATCAAAAGTCCCAAGGTCACTACATGCAGGGTTCAAGCATGCCATAAACTAGAGACAATTCCCAAGGCTTTTCCTTGTATACAGGAAGCAGCCCACTCCCTAAGGCAGCTACTCAGCTGCTCCCAGTAGATTCTACCATGGAGTTGATTACCAGTCTCATCATGGGGAATACTACATCCAGCTGCCCAGCCACTCAACCAGGCCCAGCCAAGTTGACACATAAATTTAACTACCACATATATTTAATCTTATGAATTGGCATTTTGATTTGGTACAAATTTGTTCAATCTTATTAATACTGATTAGCATTGTGATACTACAGACATTTCTATTATGCACATTTGAATGCATATATATACATATTATTTATGTACACATATATATATGTATACATTTATATATACACTCACATGTATATACATTTATATACACCCACATTTATAAATCCTGTTTTTCTATGGTAGACTTCTACAGTAAACATCATTACTCATATTTCATTTTTCTCTTGGCATGTATTCTTTTAAATTCCAGAAAGCAGAATTGCTACATTTTTAATAAGTTATATACAGTAAAACTCCCATAGGTACTGCAGCATTGCTTCTACAAAGATTGTGTCCATATGTATTTGTGCCATTAGTTAATTAGAGTGTCCTTTCCCCATATTTTTGCCAACCTGGCCAAAATATCTGCAACCTATATCATAGACCAAAGGTTAATATCCCTAATTTGGAAAGAGCTTCTGTAAATCAGTTAAGAAAAAGATGAACAACTAAAGGAAAAATGGTCAAAAAATGTGTAGAAGCAAACCACTGATGAGGAAATACAAATAAATGGATGAAAAGATACTCTACTTCAGAGGTCAACATGCTTTTTGTAAAGGTCTAGATAATAAGTGTTTTAGGCTCTCTAGGCACAATGGTCTCTGCTGTAATTATTCAACTCTCTTGTAGTACAAAATCAACCATATTGTTAGTAGCTATCTAGTCAGTTCTGACACATGGTGACCGCAAGGGTTCAGAGTAGAACTGCACTCCATAGAGTTTTCAAGACTGTGACCTTTGGAAATAAAGCACCTGGCCTTACTTCTTAGTAGATCTCAACTGCCAGCCTTCGGGTTAGTAGTCCAGTACTTCACCATTTGCGCAACCCAAGTACTTCTTAAAGCAGCTGTAGGCAGCATGTAAATAAATAAGTGTGGCTGTGTTCCAGTAAAATTTGATTTTAAAAAAGCACTGGGCTAGATTTTAACCATGGACTTTAATTTACTAACTCTTGCTCTGCCTTACTAATGATCAGGGAAATCTTGAGGAATTTTTTTTCATACCAGATTGGTAAAAATTAAAACATCTGTATAAAATAACATTTTGAATTATTTTTCTAAATGATGATGATGGATTTATACTAATTCAGCCTCATTGTGTTGCCAGAAACTTTCTGTCTGAGAGTATATTCTGTGAGAGATTTCTTGAGAGCTTTCTGTAACAAAATGGAATATGCTCTTGAACTCGTTTTAGATAGAACTGAAGATTGTTGCCATTTTTTTGCTTTAAGTGTCTTCCAAAATAGAATGGTATAAATAGATATTTGACAATTAATTTTCTTTTTTCTCTAATATTTACTTAACTTTGAAAGAGCTACTATTTCCCTTTCAAAAATTTGCCTTAATACACAATGAGAGTTACAAAGAACTGTCTTAATGTTTATTTTGAAGAGTATATATTTAAATTCCCAGTCAGGTAGAAAATCAAGGCACACTCATTCAGAAACACAAATATGTTTTAATACCATATGGTTTATTAGTTTTGAATAAGTAGGCTCTCTAATGTTGGGGATTTGAATATTTACATAGACTTTGCTGTAATTTTTCACCAACAGTACATTTACTTCACTTATATGAGAACTCTTGCAAAAAGTTCAGAGATTGCAAGCAAGCCTTGATTTTCATCAAAAGTAGGGGTTTTACCACCCTTTTTCAGTATGCCCATTCTTTTTACTTTTTGCTTTAATTTCTGGTTATTGGTTATTAAGGATTCTATCTAAGATATAATTATAAGAACTTAGGAAATATGATTGAGTTGTGTGTGGGAGCAAGAAGTTCCAAAAAGTGGAAGTTTTTCTGGGCATGATTCAGTTTGGGATTAATCAGGTAGCCAGAGTTTAATCATGGGGAAAAAAAAATCATACGCATTAGAGCACTGCTTCATTGAGTGTGAAACATGAACTTGTGAGTATGTATTATCTGAGGTTCTGTGTATTAAGTAGATGATGGCATTTCAACCTTATCTATTTTATATTTGATAAGACATTCTTATGGAATTTTTTTTGGCTGTAGGAGAATTCATCTGGATATAAAGACTTGACTGGGAGTTTTGTAACAATTTTGAAGCAAGTAGTTGGAGGAAAGCTCCCAGTAGATTTCAATTACCACAGTGTGCCGGCACCGTGGTTACAAATTCAACTCTTGAGAATACTGGGACTTCTTGGAAAAGATGATCAAAGGTAAATTATTCTAAGTAATGTACTTAATGACACTGTATGACATGATAGCCCCTAAGTTTTAATCACCTAGAAGTTTCATGATGAGTCAGATAAATAAACCATTGTAAGAAATACATACATGTTTTCAGGTTGTTAGGATAATCCTGACTCTGTTTATCTAAATCCTACCTATTAGTAAAGGTACCTCTGAAGTTCCATCTCCTCCATGAAAGTTTCCATTTCAACAGTTAGCAAACTTTTCTGTAAGGGCCAGAAAATAAATGTTTTAGACTTTGTGGACCGTATGTTGCAACTGTTTCACTCTGCTATTGAAGCAGAAGCAGCCATAGAGTATACATAAATGAATGAGCATGGCTGTATTCCAAAAAGTCTGTTTTTGGACACTCAATCTTGAATTTAATATAATCTTCATGAGTCATAATATATTATTATTCTTTTGATTTTTTTCTCCCCTACCATTTAAAATGAGGAAGGGAGACTAGGCGATCTACTTTAAATAAAGATTTATAGCCTCAGAAACCCAGTGGGGATCAGTATGAGTCAGAAACAACTCCATGGCAGTGAGGTTTTTTTTTTTAACCATTTAGAAATATAAAAACCATTCTTAGCCTGCAGCTGTACAAAAACTGGTGTTGGGCCAGATTAGATCTATGGGATGAAATTTACGTACCCTTGCTCCAGTAAGATGTAAGGTCTTCACCTTCTTTATTCATTTGTCTGAATTACTCTTTTGACCAATAATTTATATTAACATTTTTATGAGTACCTATCCAACTGTATATATTTTTATAGCTTTTTATTTTGGTATAATTTTTTAAATCTATATAATAATTCCAGGAATAATACAAAGATCTCTGTTCTACATTTTACCTAAATTTATTCATTATTTACATTTATTTGATCATTCTTAGTTTCTCTTCATGTGTGTGTGTATACACGCACAGATTATTTTCATTAATTTTTTTTTTTCTAAACTATTTGAGAGCGTGTCCAGTTAGATTTTAGTTCTCTTAAGAGCAAGGACTATGGCTCGAGTCCTTGTGCATATCTGCCATCCCTGATATGTTTGTTTCTTAAGAAAATATTTTTAATATTAAGCAGTGTTCTGACTTTATGGTGGTGGTTCCCTTTTATGCAGTAGCATACATTTATATTCTTATTTTTTAGCCTAGCTTTGTAATGTGACCTTCCTTTTGGCTGTTGCATCTAGAAACTAGAAATGCCTAGTCAGCCTCATGTCAGAACCCATCTGCCTGTAAACTCCTCATGACGCTAATTGGGCTCTGTCATTCTAGGTATTAATATGTTACCTTTTTCTGTGTTGATAAATCTCAACCCCAGATTGAAACTTGGAGTGAAAACCTGGAGGTGATGGGATAGACATACACACATTAGAGATGATTTTCCTAATTATACTTTATGCCACATAACTCCAACTTACCCTATCGTGGAGCCCCAGTCGTAGTTCACTGGAATTCTGTTTTAAAACAACTGATTTCATAATAATGCATCATACCTTATTGGTCTAAAACACTTAATGCCATTATAGTTGTTGTCAAGAAGTAATTTGAGAGGTATTTAGAACATTTATTTACTAAATTTATTAACATTAACTTTCTTCTTTCCTCCGTGGCTGAATTTAGAGAATATACACAAAGATGAGTAAGATAGTCCTTACTTTAAAAAGCTCAGGTGAAAGTAATTAGGCTTAATTAAATGAATATACAATGGAACTCTTGTGATGTTGCAGAGCATTAGGAAGTTTTCTTTTTTTGTTGCCCAACTCTTTAATGAAATTTGATATTAACATAAATCTTACACATCTTAGACCATGATAAGCTCAATGTGTTAAAGTAAATGTTAATAAGTTCTAACAGGATTTTAAGGAGCTATAGTAGCATAGTGCCTAAGGCACTTGACTGCTAACCAGAGGGTTGGGCAATCTCCTTCTGTAGTGATGTTGTTGTTATGTGCTGGGTTTCCGAGGCAGTAGCACTACGGAAGTACATTGCCCCATCTTCCTTCCGAGGAGTGGCTGGTGGGTTTGAACTGCCAGCCTTCTGGTAAGCAGTCAAGTGCTTCAGGCACTATGCTACCAGAGCTCCTTCTGTAGTGATACTGCCTGGGAAACCCAAGGAGGGGTTGCTATGAGTCGGATCCGACTCGAGGGCACATAACAACAACAGGATTTTGAAGTATTTAATTGAAATAATTTACAGGCAAAGTCTTTATTATACTTATAATCATTTATATCTATGATTTGTATTTTCTTGTGCTTTTTAGCTGCCTGCTTCTTAGGTTGTTAATATTTAGCTAGATTAATCCTCAAACATTTCCACATTTCATGTGGTCAAACATGACGGTCTTATGCCAGACATTGGCTTTAAAATAGAGAAACTAGACTGTAATCTAGGTGTAAAATTACTAGATATTTTTGGGGAGGTTTGGTAATGTCTGCTTTATGGTTATCTTCTGCAGATGTGCTTACACAATAAAATGAGGGATTTTAGAATATATTCCAGTTCTGGATTCTTATTATTAGACATTTATACTTCAGTTAAGACATAAAAAATAAAAAAGTACACGCACTTCAAATTGAATCTTCTGGCTGTATATATGAAAAAGGGAAATTTTCTGAAAGATGTAACGTACATGATAATTTATTCAACCCCAGATTATTTTGATCTTTTTGTTGGCTTGTTTTATAAGGTAGTTTCTCTGCAAGACCACTCTGTGTATCCTTTGATGCTGGTAGTTTTTTTTTTTCCATTTTTATTGTGATTTGGGTGAAAGGCACAATGAAAGAGCAATTTCATTTTCCATACAACAGTTCATACACATTTTGTCTCATGACATGGACTGCAGTTTCCCACAGTGCAACAGCTCTCCTCTCACTTTCTCCCTATAGCCACCTCTTCCCTGTGTCCTTCCCTCCCAGGTACTCCTGCCCCCTGAACAGTCTCCCTGTGCATACACTGCTATTCCGTTCTCCCATGATTGATCTCTCCAAGGAGTGTATCTACCTGATACAAATGTTCAGCCCATATGCTAGTCTTTTATTTGCCTGGAAGTCCTAGGAGTGAGTTCAATTCCAGACCTGAAGGGCAGCGAGGGGCCATAGTCTCAGGGGTTTCACCAGGTTCTATCAGACCATTAAGCATGATCTCTCTCTTTTTTTTTTTTTTTTTTAATTTTGAGTTTTGTTCCACATTGTACTCACACTCGAGTGGTTGACAGTTGTAGTTGGGCACCATATAGTTCTTCTGGTTTCATGGTCATATATAAGGTAAAGATCACATGGTATACTAGTTTCTTGGACTAGTTGTTTCCATGCATCTTTGGTTTTCCTCATTCTTCTTTGCTCTGGATGAGAAGAGACCCATTGTTGCATCTAGATGGCCACTTGCAAGCTTTTAATATCCCAGTCACTACTCAGATGCTGGTAATTTTTTTATTTTCCTCTTAGTGCTTTTTTGTTTGTTTTCTTAATTTTTTAATGTGATTTGATGAAAGTTTACAGAGCAAGTTGGTTTTCCATCTAACACCTCCTACACATTTTGTTTTGTGACACTGGTTGTAGTTCCCACAAAGTAACAGCCCTCTTCCCACTTCCTCCCTGTGGTTACTGTTTCCTTTTGCCCTTCTTTCCTGTCCTTCCTGCCTCCTGAGCTTTTTTCCTGGGCACATGATGCTGTTTCACTCTTGTTAGTTTGGGCCTTTCTTGCCTCATGGGTTTTTTTTTTTTTTTTTTCTTTTTTTGTGATTTGCGTGAAAGTTTACAGAGCAAATTCACTTTTCATACAGCAGTTCACATACACTTTGTCTCATGACATTGACTACAATTTCCCACAATGCAACAGCTCCCCTCCCACTTCCTCGTAGTTAACCTCTTCCCTATGTCATTCCCTCCATGCACTCCTGCCCCCTGAGCTGTCTCCCTGTGCATACACAGCCCTTCTTTTCTCCCATGATTGTTCTCTCCAAGGAGTGTATCTACCTAGTATAAATGTTCCGCTCATATGCTTGTCTTTTGTTTGGCTGGAAGCCACAGGACTGGGTTCAGTCCCAGACCTGAGGGGTAGCTAGGGGCCATAGTCTCAGTGGTTTTATCAGGGTCTATCAGACCAGCAAACCTGGTCCCTTTTTTTTTTTTTTTGCCCCCAAATGATTTTGAGTTTTGTTTCACTTTGTTCTCCCATGCTATTCAGATCTCCTACATAGATCTCCCTCTGAGTGGTTGACAGTAGTAGCCAGGCACCATCTAGTTCTTCTGGTCTCATAGTCCTATAGGCTGAGGATTGCATGGTATACCAGTTGCTTGGACTAATAGTTTTCATGAATCTTTGGTTTTCTTCATTCTTCTTTGCTGTGGACAAGGAGAGACCCATCGTTGCATCTAAATGGCTGCTTGCAAGCTTTTAAGATCCCAGTCACTACTGACCAAATACTTTGTGGAACAATGTTTTGTGTAATATGTTATGCCAATTGAGCTTGATGTCCCCTGCAACTATGGTCCTGAGCCCACAGGTCCAACTACTCATTCCCTCTGTGTAGCTGGCTGTGGCCAAGAAGTGACTACAATCTTGTCCCTTGTCAGCTCTACCTTATACCTGGGAATTCGTACAGAACATACCAATACACTTGTAGAAACATTGTCTGCCAACCCTCTACATGGTCATGGGCACACTCCTCCTTGCGAAGACATACCTAATAGTTCAGCCTGTTCACCCATCTAACCACCCGTATATCCATGTTTGCCTTCACTGAAACGCAGTACTGTATGTGCAGAAGGGTTCATCTTTGTTGTCTGTACCTCCTGTGCACTTCTCCGTGTCTTCCTCTTCCTCAGCGCCACCAAGTTCATCACTCACATTTGGTACATTGCCCTTCTCTTCACCCAAATCAATAGTTATCTCTGTCTATCTAACATCCCATCCCATTCCTGGTAATGAACAAAGAAAATTTCCTACCATCCCATCCCATTCCTGGTAATGAACAAAGAAAATTTCCTTCTATATATAAAGCTTTCCTTGACTTTTTACAATAATGGACTAATACAATGTTTGTCCTCTGTGATTTACTTATTTCACTCAGCATAATGTCCTCCAAGTTCACCCACATTATGTATTGTTTTGCAGATTCTATGTTATACTTTAGGGTTGCGTAGTATTCCATTGTGTGTATGTACCATAGTTTGGTTATCCATTCTTCAGCTGATGGACACCTAGGTTGTTTCCATCTTTCGGGTATTGTAAATAGTGCTGCGATGAACATGGGTGTGCATATGTCTGTTCTTGTCCTGGCTCTCACTTCTTTAAGATGTATACCTAGTAATGGAATGTCTGGGTCAAATGGTATTTCTAATTCCAACTTTTTAAGGAATCCCCATACTGCTTTCCATAATGGTTGTATAATTTTACACTCCCACCAGCAGTGTATGAGAGTCCAAGTCTCTCCACTTTCTCATCAGCATTTGTTATTTCCTGTCTTGTTGAACTTTGTTATTAGTGCTGGGGCAAGATGATATCTCATCTCTTAGTGCTTTTTGAATGTGTAAAACATAGATATACCAGCATAGAAGCCTCAGTTTTTACAGTGGCCTCTTGGAGAGAATTTTCTTTTCTAGTCCTAGAGGCAGAGCTGTAGGACTCTGTAAGGCACTAGGTTTTCCTACAGTATTTACCTCAACCAGTTACTGTAGGAAAGGGACCATAAAGACATGTGAATGATACAAATCTGTTAATTCCACAAAATATAATGCTTTATATTTAACTTAAATAAAAGCTAAAACTTCTTTACTGAGGAATCTAATTGCTGATCATGGAAAGACTAATATTTGAATAATTTCTGAAAACTACCTGCTTAAAATACAGTTAATATACTATATGGGATAATCTGGTCATGTGAACTATTGCTGTAGTCACATAAAACACATAGATATATTTTATTGCAAAGAAAATTATAAAAGATACCCTATTCAACCAAACACAAACCTGATACTGGTAAACTGGGTACAGATTAAAGATAGAGTTGATTGATTTGCATATATTTCCTCATGTACTAAGCAGTCAACTTGATAAAGCAGGAAGTTTAAAACTTACGGAAAAGTAAATAAAATCATCAATAAGGGAAATTCATGTAACTTCATCATAAATGAATTTCTTTCACTTCTTTTCTGTAGATCTTCAGTTTTAAAGAGAGAGAAGTTTGAAAACTATTGTTTTTTGGGGTTAGAATATTATAATTCTACTGCAAATAAAATATCTTTTAAACAGGACAAGTGAATTAATGTATGATGTTCTTGATGAATCCTTACGAAGAGCCGAGTTAAATCACAATATCACATATGGTAGGTAATGTATGTATATGCTACTCTAATGACTAAAGGTACTTTAAGTGTCACAGCTAAATCGGTGTTAGAATGCTGTTAAGTTCTGATTGAATTTTATACATTGATTTTTAAGGTGATTCTTTGTGTTTTTTTTTAAATGTGAGCATTGAATAACTAATTGAAATAATTTGAAATTATGGCATTGTTCTAGATGTTGACTTAAATTGGTAATTATGCTTTCCTTCTTACTGAAAACATTCATCAAGCATGTAATTAACTGTGAAGATAATCCAGCAGATCAGTTCCATATTTTGTAAAAGTTTATATTTGAAGATAATGCTTAAATAATCAGTCAACTAATTGTCAAATATTTATTAAATTTCTGTTGTTTGTCAGGTTCTGTGTAAAGTACTTGGAATACAGCTGTGAATAAAACAATATTGTGGGACTCACAGATAAGATGTATAAAAAAGGGACAAGTATTATTGCAAAGAGAATTGCAGAGTGCTGTGGGGAAAATCTAGCAGCTAGCCTTAGGTGAGGGGGAGAACAAGGAAGGTTTTCCGGAGAAAATGATATTTGAATGACACCTGAAGAGTGGGTAGGATATAGAGAAATATATAAAAGTGTGGAATAACAACATACTATTTTGTGAAGAGACAGTAAATAACTTATGCTTTATACAATTTAAAAAAGTAAGTTAGTGATAAAGAGACAAGATTAAGTAGGAAGAGGTGGCTAGAAAATTGAGAAAGTAACAACAACAAAACCTTCCAAGTTGAATGGTCAGAGAGAAGAACTATTAGTTTTTGTTTTTGGTAAGTCTGAAATCTCAGTGAAAAAATTGGTATTTTGAGGTTATTTAAAAGGTAGAAGTAAAATAGTTTGAATTTTGCATCTTTTAGAGAAGAGCAGTCTAAGAGACATGAGAGACATAGTTCAAATGAGGAAGTCATTTCTTAATCTGGTAATATACCGTTCGTTAAGTCTGGATGAGGAACATTACTTTCCTTTCAAACAATGGTAAACTACCGTGCATCTTTAAGAAAATGGTTGTAGAAGTATTGGATAGACCAGAGGGCAGAAACTAAACTAATTTCGAAAGCTTGACAAAGACACAATAGGAATCAGGAGAAAGGATTGCATGCAGGAGACTCGTACAGGAAAAATAACGCATATGGTAGTGAATTGCGATAGTAAACTTTGAAGGCAGATTTATGTTTTGCATGTATAAATGGTAATTAAGGCAATGAGAATGGTTTGTTCATGTGTTCAACCAGTATCTGTTGAATGCTTACCAAACAAAACCTTGATTTGTAAACTAGATACACATTGAAGCAGAGAGTTGATTGGCCTTCTGTATTTCTCCATGCTGTGAGAGATAAAAGGAATAAGATAGACATGGGTCTTGCCCTTATGAGTATGTAGTATAATGAACAGTTGATATTATTTAGATTACTGATACGTGTTATTGTTGTAAGGTGCCACTGAGTTGGCTCTGACTCATAGCAACCCTGTGTACAACAGAGTGAAACACTGCCCAGTCCTGTGCCAGCCTCACAGTCCTTGCCATACCTGGGCTTGTCGTTGCAGCCACTGTGTCAGTCCATCTTGTTGAGGGCCTTCCCCTTTTTCGTTGACCCACCACTTTACTAAGCATGATATCCTTCTCTAGGGAATGATCCCTTCTGACAACATGACCAAAGTAGGTGAGACGAAGTCTGGCCGTTCTCACTTCCAAGGAGCATTGTGGCTGCACTTCTTCCAGGACAGATTTGTTAGTTTTCTTAGCAGTCCATGGTACTTTTCAGTATTCTTCACCAACACCACAACTCAAAAGCATCAACTCTTCTTCAGTCTTACTTATTCATTGTCCAGCACTCACATGCATATGAGGTAATTAAAAATACCATGGTTTGGGTTAGGCGCAGGAGCTCTGGTAGCGTAGTGAGTAAGGCATTTGACTGCTAACCAGAGGGCTGGCTATTCAAACCCACCAGCCACTTCTCAGAAGGAAGATTGGGTGGGTGATCTACTTCCATAGTGATACTGCCTTGGAAACCCAAGGAGGGGTCACTATGAGTCAGATCTGACTCCATGGCAGTGAGTTTGGTTTTTTTTGGTTTGGGTTAGGTGTACCTTAGTCTTCAAGGAGACATCCAAATGCATAGTGAGGAGAATAAAGGGCCAGAGACAAGGGTGACCCTTATTGAGGTTGGTGGTTTGGTTAGAAGTGGTTAGAAAAGTGCAGGCAACTAAAGTAAGTTAAAATGTTTTGTTTGAGATACAGTTAGTGTCTAGGATAGAATTTGAAGTGATCTTAAGGGATTCTGTTTAATATTACTTGAGAATCTGCTTTTTGTTTTGTTTTGCTTTTTGTTTGCGAAAGTTACTATTTTCTTATAGTTGACATTTTGGCTTTAATTATTTTTATTTTTTTTTTGAATAGGTAATATATGCACATGGTTCAAAATTCAAAAGGTTCAAAAGGGTATACAATGAACAGTAAGTCTCCCTTCCATATTTATCAGCCACCACCCAGTTTCCTTTTCTGGAGACACCACTGTTAACCTTTTGATTTGGAGAATACTGTATACCTGAGGAAAATTATTATTTTTTTTTCTTTATGCTATTACTAGGACACTTTTCTGAAAATTACTTGAACTAACACCAATTTGTTTCTTGGTAGGCTGTCAATCAGTCTTTCAATTTGTTACACAAACCTCATAATTTCTGTTGTTTTATATCCTTTAGTTATTATTTCTTTGTTATACTTTTATTTACATTTTGTAGTGATACAGTTTAGAGTTTATATTGACTATATCAAATGGTAGAGTACTCTCAAGTGACCCTAATATAAATCTTTATTTTATTGTTTAAGAATGTGAATTTTAAATTATCAGCTTTGTAAGGGCAAGGACTATGTCTTATTGGCCACCATGTCGTCAGTATCTGGCACTGAGATAGTTGATGATTAATACGATTTAATTGAATTAAAAGAAGAGAAAGTTACTAATTTTTTTTGTTAGCTAATTGGGTTTTATTGTTAATACTTTATAAACCATATTTTTATAACTGTTCCATTGTTACAACTTTCCTTAGTGTCAAATGAAGAAATAAATCACATCAAAGACATTTGTTGAGTATCTGCTATGTGCCAGGCATTGTATAAAGTTGTATAGAGGGTATGAAGAAGTATAAGATGTAATCTTTATATTTGAGGAGTACACATATAATGGAAGAACAGCTTATTCAGGAAAGCATAATAACAGTATAAAGCAGAATACAAAGGGAGTTTTGTTGTTGTTAGGTACTATCAAGTTGCTTCTGACTCATAGTGACCCTATGTACAACAGGATGAAACAGTCCTATTTTGATGTTTCCTGCATCGTTCAATATTTTGCTTATAGACTCCTTCTGTATTGCATCTCGAGGCTTGAATTTTTTCAGCTTGAGAAATACTGAGCATGTTCTTCCCCTTTGATTTTCTAACTCTAGATGTTTGTAAATTTCATTATACTACTTCACTTTTAGTACAGGAATAAATATTATAGTAGATCAGAAGAGGTAGAGATCACCATGGGCTGGAGGATGATGATCAAGATTTATCGATATGATAGGAACCTGAGAGATAGTTAGGATTTAGATAGGCAGAAGGAGATTCTAGTAAAGAAAACATGAGAAAAGTACATAAGTAGGGATGTTTAGAACAGTTTCAGAGAACAGTGAGTCCACTAGCCTGAATGGAGGGTTTGTCTTTATCAGTGGAAAGGCTGTACTATGGAGCTTCTCTTATGGCAGCTAAAGGAGTTTGGACTTTATAAATTTGGAAGTCATGGAAGATATTTGGACAGAGTACTGATAAGATGAGAATGGCATTTTCAGGAAACTGAGTTGGGAGGACTGTATAGAATGGGGAGGTGATACAAATGGTTAATATACTCAGCTGCTAACTGAAAGGTCAGAGGTGTAAGTCCCCTTGGGCACCTCAGAAGAAAAGCCTGGAAGTCGACTTCAGAATAATCAGCCACTGAGAACTTTTTGGAGTGCAGTTCTACTTTGACATACATGGGGTCCTGTGAGTTGGAACTAACTCAAGAGCAACTTGTTCATGTAGAGTACAAGGGACAGAACCATCAAGTACTGTGCCTTATACTTCCTGCTAAGTACAGCTAAATCCTGAACATTATTTAAAACAAACATGAATTTGAAAGGTGGCAAAAAGAAGGCAAACCATCCAGGGACCTTGAGACCCAAGGAACAAGGTGGAGCTGAGTTCTGTGGATTTAATTTTTTACTCATATATCCCAGACTGGGTACTGGAGAAGTCAGCAACCTAAAAACATAAATAAGTGAGACAAAAAATAACTAAGAAAAGCTAGTTCCCTCCAGCCTAAGGACCAGGAAGGAGGAGGCAGCATAGCAACACAGAAACTTAGACACTACCCTGTTGCTCCAGCCACGCACCACATAGAGACAACTGTGGCCCCACCCCTGCTAGCAAAGGCCAGATAGAAGGCCAAGATTTCTACCCTCATCAGACTGTAATGAGGTGTCCCAATCTCACAGCTTTGGTGATATTAGAGAAGATCAATGGGGAGCCAAGATCCTGCTGAGTGGTAAAGAGAGGAGCCCTGGTAGAGTAGTGGTTAAAGCATTCGGCTGCTAACCAAAAGGTCGGCAGTTTGAACCTACCAGCCACCCTGCAGGCGAAAGATGGAGTAGTCTGCTCCTGTAAAGATTTATAGCCTTGGAAACTCTATGGGGAAGTTCTGCTCTGTCCTATAGAGTCCTGGTGAGTTGGAATTGGCTCGATGGCAGTGTGTTTGGGTTTTTTTGTTTGGGTGGTAAAGAAGCCCCCTCCTGCAACTTGACATTTACCATGGAGTAACTCCATATGCTGACGTGGTCAGAGGCAGCCTAATGTAGAGTTGGAGGATAAAGGGACTTGAAAATAAAAGTCCTTTAAATTCATTTTCAGTTTATTATGTCTAATGAGATTAATAATTAGTGTAAAATTTAAACATTTTAAAATTTAAAAATTTTACCTGTTTTAGTTTCCCAGAAGGCTGTGGGTGGTGCAAATGGCTAAGTGCTCAAATACTAGGTGAAAGGTTGGCAGTTTGAACCTTCCCAGAGGATTCTTGGAAGACTGGCCTGGCAATCTGCTTGCAAAAGGTCACAGCCTTGAAAACTCTATGAGCTGTTCTATTCTCCACATGTAGAGTTGTCATGAGGTGGAACTGACTTGATGGCAGCTGACAACAAGCTTCCCAGAATCTTGTGTATACATAGAAAGGTTAATGTTGTAGATGACTCAAGACAAACTCTTTTTATTAGCTAGAGAGATCTTAATGTTATAGGAAACTGTAAAGAGATATATATCAGTTATGCTAGAAAATGGAACATAATCATATTTAATCCTACTTAGGACTGTCCCATTAGTTCAAGATTTGGCAAACATTTTTTGAAAAGGGGTCCAGGTGGGGAATATTCTAGATTTTCAGGGTCACATAGGTCTCTGTTATGTATTCTTTGTTTTGTTTTTACAACCTTTTAAAAATGTAAAAAAAAACATTCTTGGTTCATAGGCTATAAAACAACAGATAGTGGACTGGTTATAGTTAGTTAGTCCTGCCTTAGTTGGGTTAGTTGACCAGTGCTCTTTGGTCAGCTTTTTAACTTTAAAAAAACAAAACAAACCACTGCCATGAGTCGATTCCAACTCATAGCAACCATGTAGAACAGAGAACTGCCTCATAGGGTTTCTAAGTCTGTAAATCTATAAAAGCAGACTGCCTTATCTTTCTCCCATGAAACAGCTGGTGAGTTCAGTCACCAACCTTTTAGTTAGCAGCTGAAAGCTTTAACCACTATACCACCAGACCTATATTTGTGTAACTTAGGAAGTCATAAAGTCAGCTTTTATCACAGCCCAAGGTACAGACATTTTATAGCACAACATCTGAATATACAGAATATCTTTACATCCAATTACTTTTTTTTTTTTTTAAATTAAAGTCACTTTTCTTCCTAAAGGAGCTCTGGTAGCATAGTACCTAAGACATATGACTGCTAACCAGAAAGCTAGTGGTTCAAACCTCCCAGCCACTCTTCAGAAGGAAGGTTGGGCAATCTACTTCCGTAGTGATAACACCTTGGAAACCCAAGGGGGGTCGCCATGAGTTGGATATGACTTGACAGCAGTGGGTTGGGTTTTTCTTCCTAAAGGAAAATTAATATTTCACATTTGTTTTTTACCCCTTATCTCTTTCTCATGGAGGGGGTTTATATAAAGCTTTTTCTTCAAAATTTTTGTATTAATTGATAGACAGCTTAGCAGTATGAAAAATAAGCAATTGAATATTTAGGATATATCTTATATATAAAGAAATCTCTGCCTTTTTATGTTTTAAACTTTTGAAAATAGAGAAGAAATGATTACATCAAGGACACTTGATATGCTTCCACTTGTAGAACTGTTTTTAAGTCTGCTGATTCCATGCTTTCACAGTGTCTCACTCCTGATACTGTGATCCATAGGACATACATAATGGTGTCTCAGTGATTCTTCTTTATCGTGGCAGATCTTCAGCTCCTTTACTCATATTTGAGAAAAAATTTTAGTGCCCACTTTGATCATCTATCATAGTTATGAGACTTTTCACCGTATCAAGAAATCAAATTTAAACACTATTGAAAGTGTTCACAACGGAGCCTTGGTGAGACAACATTCAAGTGCTTGGTTGCTAACTGAACGGTTGGGATTTTGCACTCACTCAGCTGTTGTGTGGGAGAAAGACCTGGAGATCTTCTATAAAGATTACAGCCTGGAAAACCCTGTGGGACAGTTCTGCTCTGTGACATGGAGTCATTGTGAATTGAAATTGACTCCATGGCATGTTGTAATAACAAGGTGCTCAAAAGTCTTGAAGTTAATTTTAAAGAAGTGGCAGGTGATTATATTGAAATAAATTACATCAGTTTTTATATGAATTCTAGAAACCCCTTGAGGATAAACTATTCTATGGCATTCAAGGAGTGTTAGAAGTATCTATTTCCATAGGAACAAATGACTGCACTATTTATATATTCGTTAGAATGTGAACTCCTCGAGAGCAGGGATTTTTGTTTGTTTTGTTCACTGCTGTATTCACAGCCCTAGAACAATGCCTGGCATGTAGGAGATGGTTAGTAAATACTTGTTGCATGAATAAATGTGTCATTCTTACCTACAAGTGAATATAATTCTCTTTAAATTATGATAACCTAATCCTAAAAATTTTATAAGACTGCAAACAGTCAAATTTTCCATAAATGAGATTTGTTTTTTTCAGTTAGTTTATTATGAATTCTTCATAGATATGTCCTCTTATTATGCCTTAACATGATGATCTACCATTTTTATATTTTCCTTCTCTAGCTATTCTATTTGAATGTGTGCATACAGTCTATTCTATTTATCCTAAATCAGAATTACTTGAGAAGGCTGCCAAGTGCATTGGAAAATTTGTTCTGTCACCTAAAATAAATCTCAAATATTTAGGTAAGATAACTGGCTATTTTGACCTGACTTACAAAAAGGATTTTTGAAATTTGCTGTGTATTTGTTTCAAGTCACTTTGTGTACTATATCTCTGTTTCTAGGACTGAAGGCTCTTACCTATGTTATCCAACAGGATCCCAGTCTGGCTCTTCAACACCAGATGACAATAATTGAATGCTTAGATCATCCTGATCCCATTATTAAAAGAGAGGTAAACTGTTTTTTTGATTAGTGTACATGAGGTGTTACAAGCTTTAAACTTTTAATTGGTATTATGGAGTGAGATTCTAAGGGCTAGGCAGTGTGTATACACACGTATGTGCGCATGTATTTTAACTTTTGAATGTATTTTATTTTTCCTACTAAAAAAGTAATTATGTTTATATCCACAGAAATGTTCTTAAAATATGAGTTGGAGAGGTTAGGTCCAGTTATCTGTATGGATTCATTAATAGCTTTTCAGTCCCAGTGTTGTACTGCTACCAAAAACCAAACCAAAATTACTGCTGTAAGGTCGGATCCAACCCATAGTGACCCCTCCTTGGGTTTCCAAGGCAATATCACTACAGAAGTAGACGCCCAAGCTTCCTTCCGAATTGTACTAATAGCATACCTAAATTCTGTTCTCCAGTCTTCCTGTTTGTACAAGTTAACATGTACTCTTGTAATCATATTTAAGAAGTAATTTAAGATTAATATTTTCACATTATTCTCTTTAACATGTGTAAAATGGATTAATGTATTCCCTATTGAAGGAACAGTAATGTTGAAAGAATTAATAAAATGATTTGAACTTTATGGAAGAAAAGGTATATAGTTTACTTAATTTGTTTTTTCAACTATTTCCTATTATAAAATTGCTTCAGTGTCTACTTGGGTGTCTTTACATACATTTCTATTAATTCTCATGTCTGTGTAATAAATTTCCATTTGTATGGAAAAATTGTTCTATATCCTCATTTAAAATGGTTTTTGAGACCTAGTTAAGAGCAGTGAAAAGTTTTATTTTTGATTTTAAATATAATCAAGGTAAGAAATAAGAATCTACTAAACATAACTATCTCAAAAGCAGTGAGTTAAAAATAGAGTTTATTGAGAGAACACTATTGTATTAAACAATTATTTTTAAAAGATAAGATTATCAGTTATAAATTTTAAAAGATACTTCTCTAATTTTGAGAAATTACTTTCATGTTTTTAAACTTATAAAAATTGGCACCTGCTTTGAACAAATCTGCGAAGTTTGCAGATGTGCTAATTTCTCTGTGTATGCCTCATACAAAAAAACAGGAAGGCTCCAGGGGGCAATACATACCCTGCCACTTTGGTCAGAGAAAGAGAACAGGTAACAGAGCCTGGATTTTCTTTGCATAGTTGTCTACTATAAACAGGATCTGATTTAGGTAGAGGGTTCTTACTCTAATATTTAATCATTGGACTGTCATTTAGAAGTGAGAGTCAAAGGGAGAACCTTTAAAATCAATCTGACCTGTTTGCTCTATATCCTGCTGTGACAAAAGTAGTTTGAATTCCTTGGGGAAAGTGCTGAGTATCTGAGATACACAAAAAAAGTACTGTAGTATTGTCTCTCCAATGCCATTGTCCCTTTAAACTTCGGTCAGTAGTGATAGGGTAGGAATTTTGGTCCTTGGCAGTGGAGGATGACCTGTTGCTTGTGACTGGAAGTCCCTTTTACCTGGTCATAGACCTCTCTTTTATATAGGGAAAGGTAAGGCGATAAGAAGATACAAAAGCTGAACAGAAAAGATCTCTCACTGTGCAATTCCCCACACCGTATTACATCCAATCCTGGAAATGCTAAACTGCCTGGTCTTAGATTAGGGAATGAACTTGAACACCGGTAAATGATGCTTTCTTGGTATTGCCCTTAGTCTCATATTAATTCTGGAAGCTATAATATTTTTAGAACCTCAGTCTGGGGCCTTGGAAAGGCCAGCCTAATGGGAGCTCACTCTGGTATTGGTCTTTCTTCATCTTCTTGAGATAGCAAGAATTATATTCCTCAGCACTGAGAAAGGAGCGGTAGTATATATAGTTCCCCCTTGATACCTAAGACAGTGAATGCAAACACTGCTAGGCTTTGAAGTACTTGAGCCACCAACCTTTGTCCAGCTGTTAGAGGCAGTTTACCCTTAACTGATCACATAATTAAATGAGCAGTAAACCCACTCAAGTGCCGTTTTCTGTTGTTGAGGGAATATGGAAAATAGTTATAAGATTAGATTTTGTATGTGTGCATGCTCGTGTACACATGTGTGCACTCCCATACACACACAGCCACAGGTATAAGTAATGTGCATTTAAGAGGCTGTTATTGTTTTTAGGAAATACAAACCTTTTTTTTTTTAAACTTCTTAGTCTTTATGTGGTCTGTCATGTAGAAACATCAGTTCTTAATTATCTAAATCACTAGAAGACTTTTAGCCTTTGGGATTGATCATAATTCTTTTTTTTTTTTTTTAACAATAATTTTACCTAATATTAAAATTTGCATTTCTTGAGTACTTATTGACTCAGTGCCCAGTAGCTCTTCCACATTAAAGTAGAAAAATCAACTACATTGTAAATCTATGTTACTGTCTTTATTGGTGTTATGATGAATAGTTTTATGATACTGTTTTATTTCTTTTCCTTAAATAGACTTTGGAACTTCTTTACAGAATTACTAATGCACAGAATATAACAGTTATTGTCCAGAAAATGCTTGAATATTTACATCAGAGCAAAGAAGAGTATATCATCATCAATTTGGTTGGCAAAATTGCTGAGCTGGCTGAGAAATATCCTTTGTTGGGACCATGAATCATAAAATAAGTTTAGTTACACAGTGACTTTAGAAAGATTGGTATAGATATGGTTGCTTACAAGTTGAGCTCAGAAACCCAGCAATAACTTCTATTCCTGATGTTCAAGTTTCTTTTGTCAAAAACAGAAATTTGTGCAGACTTCATACGGGATGAGTTTTTCCTGGTTCTTTGCATTTATTTAGTCAGTATTAGGAGCTCTGGTAGCATACTGGGTAAGACACTTGCCTGCTAACCAGATGGCTGGCGGTTCAAACCCACCAGCCACTCCTCGGAAGGAAGGTTGGGCAATCCTGCTTCTTAGTGATACTGCCTCGGAAACCCAAGGAGGGGTCGCTAGGAGTCGGGTTTGACTCGACAGCACATAACAACAACAACAACATGAGCAAGAAGGTAAAGGAACCTGTGCCTGGTTCCTCTTACAGATCGTCTTTCCTTCTTTCCTTTCCAGCTAAAATCCTGTTTTGTTTTGTTTTTGCTGGGATACTAAAACTTATACTTACCCTAGTTAATGCTGGAAATTGTCACAATAAAGTGGTTGGGATCCACTTACATGTTACTTTTCTTCACATTTATTTTTTAAAAGTCAGAAGAGCTTTACTAGGTTACAAGGACATTCTGTTCTTTTACATATGTCTGTTTAAATCTAAGAAAGAAAATAATGAATAACATAAAATATCTTGGAAATGGTTTAAGTATAGTTTTGTCCTAGGAAGTACTACTGTAGGTCTAGCCAGTAGAATCATAAAATTTTAGAACAGAAGAGGAACAGATTAGAAAGAAAGAAGTTAAACAATTGTTTAACTAGACACACCACAACATTTAACCTTGCTGAAGTATATATAATCTTCCATTATTTATTTGTCCCTACTTAGCTAGTTTATTTCCTATGATTTTTTCATGTTTATTAGATGCCTGTTATATGCAAGACCCAGTGCCAAGTTAGGTGACGTGAACTCAGTTTATTAGGTTCAATGAAATAAACTCTTATGGAGCACCTAGTTACATAAAACTGGGGTATAGCATAATTACTGGCAGAAGTTAACGGTAAAAATGCTTACCGAGAATGAATTGGAATTCCTTTTTTTAAAAAAATAAATTTATTATTGTAATGTGGGTGAAAGTTTACAGAGCACATTCACTCTTCATACAGCAGTTCACATACATGTTGTCTCATGACATTGACAGTTCACCCCAATGCAACACCTCCCCTCCCACTTCCTCCTGATAGTTAACCTCTTCCTGTGTCCATCCCTCCACACACTCCTGCCCTCTGAACTGTCTCCCTGTGCATAAACAGCCCTTCTTTCTCTCATGATTACTCTCTCCAAGGAATGTATCTACATCAGGTACATGTTTAACTCTTATGCCTGTCTTTTATTTGGCTAGAAACCACAGGTGTGGTAGGTTCAATGGAATTCCTTTTTAAAAGGTTGCTGCAGAAAGGATAATTTTAATAAGTGGTGTTTGGAAGTGTACTTGTTCTTGACACTGGACACATATGCTCCTGATAATGCTTGGTTTATTCAGACAATGAATGCTGTATTTTCAGTGGGAGGAGATGTAATACATCCTGATATTCCCAATAACTTTCTGAGACTTCTAGCAGAAGGTTGGTAAACAATTACATGCTGTAAGATTTTAAAATGAAATGCTTTTATTGCAGAGTCCTCAGGGAATTTAGTAGAAATTAAAATGGTATATTAATTTCTTTGTAGGTTTTGATGATGAAACAGAAGATCAACAATTAAGACTTTATGCAGTTCAGTCTTACCTCACTTTACTAGATGTGGAAAATGTGCTCTATCCACAAAGATTTCTTCAAGTTATGAGTTGGGTGAGCAAAGTACATTAAATCATAAATTTTTGTAGAAACCAAATATTAGCATAATATATTTCCTTCCAGAAGCATTCATTGATACTCCTTTAGCTGTCAGTTTCCTTTCCCAGTGGCTGCTTTCTATTACTTAACTGTTTATTGTCTGTTCTTTCTCCCTACCGTCTCACTTGCCTAGTCCTTTAAATAGTTATTTTTTAGATATCTGTCTGTATTTACAATGGATTTGTTGTATTTTCTATGTGAATTCATATTTGAATATGTGAATACTCATTTATCTGTTCTGTATTAGTTTTCTATAGCTGTATAATAATGTTACCACAAACTTAATAATTTAAAACAACACTTTATTATGTCACAGTTTCTGTGGTTCAGGAGACCAGGTGTGGCTTTACTGGGCTTTCTGCTTAGAGTCTTACAAGGCTGCAGTGAAGGCATTGGCTGGAGTTGCTGTCTCCTTTGAATGTTGAGTGGGAAAGGATCCACTTCTAGGCTTATGTGGTGGTTGGCAGAATTCAGTTACTTGCATTTCTAGTAGTGGGTTTTAATTTTTCCCTTGCTCTTAGAGGCTTCCCTCAGTTTCTTGACACATGGGCCTGCCAACATGACTGCTGCCTTCAGCAAAGCCACCAAGGGGGAGAGTATTTCTGTAAGACATGGGACACTACTTCATGTAAAATAAGCATATAATCAGGTCCATCCTTTATGTAGTATACATGAGTAGGAGCAAGTCACAGGTTTTGCCCACACTCAAAGGGAGGGATCACACATGGGCATGAACACTGAGATAGGGATCATCAGACCACCCTAGTTTCTCTGCCACATGTGCATATTGCAGATGTCTCTGTGTGATTGTCTTACAGATACATTTGTTAGGCATGCACCACTGTGTCATTCCTTGGGTCTCTAGGTCCTTTGTGGTCCACCTTCTTTTCTCCACCTTTCAGAATCTTTTAATGTTTGCCTTACATGTATAATGTCCAAGATTCTTAGGAATACTTAGCAGGAAGAATAGGGAAAAGTATGTCTGTTTTATTTTCCCAGAAGCAGAAGTCCATTGGCCATTGGTTATTGAATATGGGGCTTAGATTACCTGTTTCTTTTGAAGCTGTCTTCCATCTTTTATTATACCATTCTAGAAATCATCCTTTTATTTAAGGAGTAAACTTATTTATCCCTGTGTCGTCGTCTTCTTTCCTCTTGTTACTAGCTATAAATTCTTCTCTTGCCTTTCTCCCACCTTTCTCTTTTTTCTTGCTGGTGCTAGTATTCTACCAGAAATACTAAAATACTCCATAAATACTATTTTGGCAGGATCTCACACTCAATAAAGAATCATTTTATTAATTATTCTTAGTTCTATAGGATTATGTCACCTGAATAAGTTAATTTTAAAAAAAAAAAAAAGATATATAGCATAGTTCAGTGTTCTTTATGATCTGTTCTGTGGACCATCTACATCAGAATCACCTGATGCTTGTTCAAAGTGTATGTCTTAGATCCCTACTACAGACATACTAAATCAGAATCTCTGGGGGATAGAGCCTAGAAATGTGTATTGTTATGAAGCATCTCAGGTGACTCTTATGCATACTTGCATGCGAGAACCACTTGTTTAAATGCTTATTGGAAAATAATAACAAAATGTGTACATGCTAATAAAAACCAAAAGCCAACCTTGTAAATTCAGAAGAAGAATATGCTGCTTTATGCATTATTAATGATTAAGATGTAGAAAATCTTTTCATCTTGAGTTTCAGTTATTGGTATAAATTTGAATCTAAAATGTACAATTATATCTTTATCTAAAAATGTCTTCACCATGAGAGTATATTTAATCTAGATTAAATTCACTCTGTGCGTAGGCATTTTGCGGCATAATTTTTTATTTGTGTATAAATATCTCTTTGTTTTACTCATAGGTGTTAGGAGAGTATTCCTACCTTTTAGATAAGGAAACACCTCAGGAGGTTATAACCAGACTTTACAAGTTACTTGTGAATGGCTCCATTTCCTCAGAAACAAAAGCCTGGTTAATTGCTGCTGTGACCAAGTTGACAACCCAAGCACATTCATCTGACATAGTTGAGAGATTAATCCAGGAATATACCAGATCTTTGGATACATGTATGAGACAGCATGCATTTGAGTTAAAACATTTGCATGAGAATGTGGAACTTATGAAGAGTGTGCTTCCAGTTGATAAGAGTTGTGAAGACTTGGTGGTAAGGCATCTGCATAACATCTTTTTAAAATTGCATTGCTTTTAAATGTAGAGTAATTCTTGCATTTATGATATATCAGGAATTAACCAAAACATAGTGTCTATAGCGCTTAAGCTGAACGTTGGGAGTTTTTCTTTAGTCTGAGAACCGATTTGAGAGCTTCCATTCAGTACTGGTCCGAAATAGTTCTTTTCTGGAAAACTGCTGTGAAGAAATTTATGTTGTGACAGTCTCTTTTAATACATAGTAAAAAACTGTTCCCCGTTTTATTTTATCTATCTACCATGTAAATTTTTTTTACCACTCTAGAATCTGGCTGTCTGCTTGCCTTCTCCCAACTGCTCTCAGCCTTCTCCCAACTGCTCTCAGCCTTCCGCCAATTAGTCCATAGTACTCAGTTACTTTTCTTCCATTTAAATCATATCATTCTCTTTCTCAGATTGATGTAAACCAGAAAACTTCCAAAGAGAGCAGATTTGTTCAAATTGCTGTGTGTTAGATGTCACATAGTTGAGAAATATAAATTGCTGTTTGTTAGTTGTCAACATGATTGAGAAAAAAGACAGTATTCCTACTAATTCTGGGTTATATTTTCATGGCTTGTATTTATTTTGCACATTTCATTCATTAATTCTTGCAAAAGCTCCTTAAAGGTAGAGACTGTGCCTTAGCATTTGTTAGGGGTTCCAGAGATTATTGAAATCATGAATGAATATGCTGTACATTACTATTAAAATAGGGAGTCCATGTAGTCTTTCTTGCCTCCAATAAAATAAAGATGACATAGCCCCATCTACTTAATAATTTTGTTGAAACCAAACCTTTCTAAATTTAGAGTATGAGATGCCACTTAAATTAGTGAGGACTACCTGATGTTCTAAATTATCTGAACTTTTTGCATATACTTGATCAAATTAGTCAGAGCCAGTCTGGTTTCTGAAGCTATACCTGCTATATCATCTTGTATTTATCTCATTTTTCTTTCTCTTCTCCCTTTTTCTCTTCTTTATCCATTAATCTTTCTTCATCACTTATTTTGTTTTATTTAACCATTCTATCATGCTTTTCGATTCCTGCTGAAATTAATTTTCCATAGATTTGTGAAAAAGCATTTTTAGGTGGAAGGGGAATAGCATAATTAATCAAAGATGGTGTGTTAGCCTGAATAATCCCTCCTTCCTCCAAATGTTCCTGATTCCTGGAATCTATACATATATTGCCTTGTATGCTAACGGGACCTTGTAGGTGTGATTAAAATAAGGGTCTGTGATGGGGAGAGTATCTTGTATTATCCAGGTGGGCATGATATAATTACAAAGGTAGGCAGAAGGTCAGAGAGGAAAAGGCAAAGTGACAAGCAGAGACTGGAATGAATGTGGCCACAAGCCAAGGAATGCTGGCAGCCTCTTGAAACAGCAAGAGACAAGGAACAGATTTTTCCCTGGGGCTTCCAGAAGAAACCAGCACTGTTGACAGCTTGATTTAAGCTCCCAGCAACAGAAATCTTATAAGGACACTGTACTTCATACTGTTTTGTCTGTCTCACCTAGTAGGCTACTAGTCTCTTGAGGGTAGGAATTTTGTCTTCTTTTGTCTCAATCATAGCACCTAATATAATGCCCTGAAATACTGGATGCTTGAAAACGTGTTCTGCAATGTAGTGAAATTAATAATAACTGAAAATGACTTACATTGTTAGATTCTTAGGTGGTTAATTTGATTATAGATGTTTTAGAAATGTAGAGAGTTGGACAGCACTTTTAGGATTGAAACTTCTGTTTTTCACTTAATTTTTTTTTTAAGCATTTATGGGCTGAAATGCTCAGGTGAAAGTACAGTCAGCTGTTCAGGATATACACACACACAAACACACATACATACATATATATAAGCAGCCCTGATAGCGTAGTGCCTAAGGCACTTGACTGCTAACCAGAAGGCTGGTGGTTCAAACCCACCAGCCACTCCTCGGAAGGAAGGTTGGGCAATCTACTTCCGTGGTGATACTGCCTCGGAAACCCAAGGAGGGGTCGCTATGAGTCGGGTCCAACTCGACGACACATAACAACAACAACACCCACAACACCACACACACACACATATATATATATCAATCCTAATTTTTGCTTCATTTTAATACAGGTAGATGCTTCCTTATCTTTTCTGGATGGTTTTGTGGCTGAAGGACTCAGTCAGGGGGCCGCACCTTACAAACCTCACCACCAACGCCAAGAGGAAAAGTTTTCTCAGGAAAAGGGTAAATTTTTTTCTAATTGATGTAAAAATATATATAATACATTTGCCATTTTAACATTTTTCATGTTTATAATTTAGTGACATGGACTCCATTAATCATTTTTTGTAGTCATTACCTATATGAAAAGGGTAGTAGTTTTTCATGGGTTTATAAAAAGCTAAATTATAAGGACATAATTTTTTGTGCAATTGATACTATAATCATATGAGTAAATAACTAAGGATACCTAGTTATTAAATATTTTTAATTTATCCCTCTTTAAATCTGCTTGTGATTTTTTTCCCCTGATGAGATCTTGAGATACCCAGGGGAAAAAAGTTAGCTTAGGGGTATTTCAAAGTCATAGGTATGGACATACTCAGCATATATAGATAACTAACATAGGATGACAGCTATCCTAGAACTTGAAGACAGAATTACCATGTTGGGCACTGTTATATAGGACTGAAAAGTTTTAGAAGAAACCCTAGTTATTGAAGACTAGTTCATTTTCATCCTGAGCAGTCTTTTATTTCTTAAGTGTATTAGGATGCTTCCTTCAACAAAATAACTGGTCAGTGAGATTAGGAACAACTAAGAAAGGGAAAAATAACTTTACATTTAAGAAATGTAAGCTGTAAAGGGCTCTGTGTGTGCAAGGAGACAGCTCGGTGGACAGGAGTGCATGGGAGGGAAGGACATGGGGAAGATGTAACTATGGGGAGGAAGTGGGAAAAGAACTGTTGCATTGTGGGAAATTGCTGTCAATGTCATGAGACAAAGTGTATGTGAACTGCTGTGTGAAAAATGAATTTACTGTGTAAACTTTCACCCAAATCACTATAAAAATTAGGAAAAAAATAAAAGTAAGCTGTCAGGGAAAGATTGTTGTCATGAATGTGGTAAAGGGGAAATCATTGAGATATTTGGCTGGTGAGTGGGACATACACACATGAGTAGAAGGAGACTAGTGAATACAGTCTATTTAAGAGTTTAGAATGTCTTTTGATACAGTTTAATGCTGAGAGGTCTTTTTTTTCTCTCTCTATTCATCATTGAATGATTTTATTAAGTACTTAACTGTTTTCCAGGCTCTATGAAGCATTGAGTCCCTGGGTGGTACTTCCATGATTAGTGTGCTTAGCTGCTAACTGAAAGGTTGGAGGTTCAAGTCTCCCCAGAGGTACCTTGGAAGAAAAGGCCTGGTGATCTATTTCTGAAAAATTAGCCATTGAAAACCCTATGGATCAAGGTTCTACTCTGATGCACACGGATTGCCATGAGTCAGAATCAACTTGATGGCAACTGGTTTCTATTTTATCTCTGGGCCAGGCATATTCCAGTTTGATCCTAAAGCAAGTTATAAATGTTTATAATAGGCTTGATGCTATCTTTTTACAGAAGCATTTGCTCTTTTAAGACTTTTGATATATTATTTAGCACAGGGATACTGAATGGCATAGAAGATTCATTTCTCCTTCAAAGAGTAATCAATCTCCTTCCCATTAGCTCCTTATATTTTGAAAGAATGTAGTGGAGAAAAAAAAGTTGTACTGAATTACAATTTTGTGATCTATAACCACACTGTATATTAAGGCCTGTGACATCAAGGGATGGAGTGAAAATCTTCCCCTAGAGTTCCACAGTAGAATAAAGTGGTCTAGTTGTTGTATTTTTCAGATGTCTGAGTGCCCTTAGCTTCCAATCAGGAATAGGGGAGAGAAGGGGAGATAGTGGAGTGCCTAATTCCTGGCACTACCTGTTTTCTTTGTTAAAATCAGTTAAATAGCTGAGACAAATATAATAGCCCTGTGACAAGTTAACGAATTCCTTTGCCAAGTACATTTTGTTCTATAAAACCATCATCATAAATGGGGTTAAGCTTTCAACTTAGGCTTTTCCCTTCTACTCCCAAATCTATTTTTCCAAAAATCGTTAAAGCAAAAGTGAGATTTTTGTAGGCTTAGAATGCCTGTTATATTATGGTACAGGAAATTGGCTATGAGATAGAACATAGTAAGTACTCAGTAAAGTTCTTGTGGATAAATTGTAAGATACATGTTGGAAATGGGACTGGCTCTAACATAGAAAAAAAAGTTGAAGAAAAACAGGCTTTTTTTTTTTTTTGCCCAAAGAGGTGTTAATTCTGCAATCCTTCAAGGATCAGTTCTGGTGCTGATCTTATTTGAGAATTTTATAAATGATTTGAGAGAGTAGTAATTACATTTGTCCATTTTATAAATGATTCTTAGCTCTCTTGGGTAGAAAAATGCCAAGTTTATAAAGATAAACTTCAGGAAAATAAGTTAATAAGAATTGGCAAAAATAGATGGAGTGGATGGAAGCAAACTTTTATTAGCAGTTTCCACTCAAGAAAAGCATTTACGAATCAGTGTGCATTATTCTATTAAAACATTTTTCAGAAATGTGATGGCAATGTTAGATTAGGCTAAAAATCGTGAGGGATAATAGCAATATAATCTCTCCCCTACAAAACTATGGCTTTTGGAAAACCAGGTCAATTTTCGGTTATTTGTATGTCAAGAAATAAATAAATAATTTACAGGTGGGGATGGATCAAGGTATAAAAGAACTGCTGTATGAGGTAAGATGGAAAGAAACCAGTTGCCTTCGAGTTGTTTCCAACTCATGGTGACTGTATGTATATCAGAATAAAACTGCTCCACACGGTTTTCAATGACTGATTTTTTGGAAATAGATCTCTAGGCCTTTCTTCTGAGGCATCTCTGACTGAACTTAAACTTTCAGTCTTTCAGTTAGCACTGAGCACATCAACCATTTATGCTGCCCAGGGACTCCAAGTTAAAGGAGCTAAAGTCATGGAAGATACAAACAGGTTAAATATTGAATTACCTATGCTCTAGATAAGTTATATTATCTCTCACCTTACTTCAGTAAGTCCCAACTATGAGTAATCTTTCTGTTCTAGTCTTGTCTTGTCAGATTCATTTTCTGTATTACCATCTAAATAGCCTCTCCAAAACTGACCTCTGATTGTGCTTCTCCTCCCCTTAAAACCTTTCAGTAATTCAACAGCATATTAAAAGAGTCATATACCATGACCCAAGAGTGATTTATTCCAGGAATACAGGGATAGTTCAGTGTTAGAAAATCAATCAGTGTAATACACCACATCAGTAGAATAAAGGAAAAGAACCATATGATCACCTCTATGGATGCAGAGAAAGCATAAAATCTAACACCTTTTCGTGATGAAAACCCTAAAGAAGATTAGAATAAAATGGAAATCCCTCAGTGTGATCAGGGCTTGTCTGAAAAGCTAACAGCCGGCATTATACCTAATGGAGAAAGACTGAGAACTTTCTTTTTGAAATTGGGTACGAGACAAGGGTGCCTGCTCTCACCACTCCTACTCAATATTACATTAGAAGTCCTAGCCAGAACAATAAGAAAAGAAAAGGAAATAAACGGTATCTAAACTGGAAAAGAAGAAGTAAAATTATCTTTATTTGCAGATGATATGATCCTATATACAGAAAATCACAGAGTCCACAAGAAAACTCTAGAGCTAATAGAGAAATTTAGCAAAGTTGCTGGGTACAAGATCAACAAACAAAAATCATTCGGGTTTCTACAAACCATCAATGAGAAATCTGGGAAACAATTCCATTTACAAAAGCATTTAAGAGAACAAAATACCTAGGAATAAATTTTACCAGGGATGTGAAGGGCTTAGACCATGAAAACATTAAAAGACTACTGAAAGAGATTTAAGAATACTTAAATAATGGAAATATGCTCCATGTTCATGGATTGGAAGACTTAATATTGTTAAGATATCAACACTACCCCAAGTAATCTATAGATTCACTATAATTCCAATCATACTTCTAAAAGCCGCCTTACAGAAATAGAAGAGTCAATCCTTGTCTTTATATAGAATGACAAGAGGCCCTAAATAGCTAAAGCATGCTGAAAGACAAGAACAAAGTAGGAAGGCTCATGGTTCCTGATTTTAAAACATATTATACAGCTACAGTAATCAGAATGGCCTGGTACTGGTATAACAATAGACATATAGACCAGTGGGATAGAATTGAGAGTCCAGAAGTAAGCCCAGACATCAATGGTCAGCTGATTTTTTCAAGGATGATAAGTCATTTTGATAAGGAGTAGTCTCTTCAATAAAGGGTACTGGAAAAATTAGATTTCCACATGCAGAAAAAAATGAAACAGGATTCATACCTCACACCATACCCAAAAACAAATTCAAAATGTATTGAGGACCTACATATGCAAACTAAAACCATAAAATCTTGGAAGAATAAGCAGGGGCAGTGCTATCAGGCATAGCTTTCAACAGCGGACTATCTAAAGGTAGTATAGTGAATTGCTTAGTATGGCCCTTTAATCATAGTCTTTGTGACTCCCATCAGATGACTGGGTGGAACTATGCAAATGTGAGGTGCTTGTGGCCCAGCAAGGAGATTGGATAGCTTGTTAATAATGTTAATAAGGTACATGATACCCTTGTGTAAGTGGGATCATGGAAATAAGGTGTCTGGAACCTTAATGTGGGAATCGGTCAGTTTTGCCATCCTGCTAGGCTTAAAAGGAACCATCCCAGAGGTGGAGAGGAAGGATTTCACTACCTTCAGGAATGAAGAGCCAGGAATAGAGCGCATCTTTTGGACCTGAAATCTCTGTGCAGAACTTCCTTGACCCAGGAGATATAGACAGAGCATCAGTGTCAGAAGTGTCAGAAGTGGTAAAAAGGTTGGAGGGTGGAGGCATGTCTGACCTCTACCTCATAGGAATCAGTCTTGGGCTATTGATCTTGATCCTTCTCCCTACTTGTGAAGTTAGAGGAGGTCAAATACCACCCCTACATCCCTTTTATAGTAGTATATTAACAAAAGTACAAATAGCAAAAGACAAAGAAATGGGACATCCAAAAAATGTAAAACTTTTGTTCATCACAAGACTTTACCAAAAAAAAAGTAAAAACACAATCTACTGACTTAGAGAATACCTTCAGA